CAAAAACGCCCACACCTCCAAGGACTTGAGAAGGATCCACTCTTGACTCCGCCCTTAATGAACTTAATCTTCTCAGCTAGGGGCTTGGCATACAAATGGCATGATTCCTCATCCTCTCCATCAAATGAAAAAGTCTTAGTGAGTTCGTGCTTCCCTCTCTCTCCCCTTCAAATTTAAAGAAAAAGCGTAAGGTCCAAGTAACCGGGGATTCGGTGGCAAACACCATCAATACTCGCGTCTATGGAAGGCCTATGAATCCAAGCAACCGGGGATTCGGTGGCAAACACCATCAATACTCGCGTCTGTGGAAGATCCAAGCAAAACCTCTATAATAAAGAGAAGGAGTTGAATAAAAAAATACTTCGCTACCCTAAAAAAGGGATGAGTCAACTCAAAGAAGTGAGAAGAGAGAGAGGAGAAACATGGAGTAAAAAGACAAGTGCCAAAACAAGGGGATGAGTAAGAGTCTAAAGCCGGCTGATCGATACTCCCTAGTTGAGACCACACCTTTAGAAATGAAAGGAGTCAAGGAGGGTGAATTGGATTGTCCAAAGAGAGGTGGGCCGCCTTGGAAAAATCGCAAAACTCATGGTATGTACTCTTGTTCTTAATTCAAATATTTGCCTTTACTACTTTCATGTGGATTACTAAAACCAAGCCAACCCGGATTTCCTAATGATTTGAGAGTTCTTGCGTTTTCAAACCTCTCTTCCTCTCTTAGTTTGCTTGGGGACAAGCAAAAGGCTAAGTCTGGGGGAGTTGATATACCCATATCTTTCATGTTTTTATCAAGGTTTTCACTATGTTTTTAATACAAATAATGTGGTTTTTATGCCCAAGAGGTAGTTTTCTTGTATATTCTGGTTTTGAGCATCATTCAGGTCAAAATAGCAAAGAAGAGTCAAAATGGAGCAAAAAGAGTCAAATCACCAAGTTCCCAAGTCTAGAGCACCAAATCTACATTTCTCGCTAAAGACCAAACCGGAGCATCCGAAGTACGACCGCATATTCATGCCTTCCCGACGTCCAAAAGTCATGTTTCTTATATGGAAAGATAGATATTTGAGTCATGACCCGCGGCGAAGTGGAAAGAGGTCATTTGGATCACTCGTTGGACCGGAACTTATTTTCTACCAAGACATGTCCGACGAGCGCCTAAGTAGAGCCCATGGAGACTTTGATGGATCAAGAGGCCCGAGATACCGCGCCCAAGGCCTTGGCTCATCTTGACACTAGCATAACTCAATCCAGAAGCTTCCATTGGCCTGAACACGGCCCATTCAAGAACTTGGAGAGCAAGCTCAAGCGGCTAAAGAGAAATGGAAACTTTCCTCTTCTGCGCGCGCTCAACTTTGCCGACCTAGACCCGCTCTCTACCTATATATACTTGCTTTTAGCCTCTTGTAATAAGAATCACCAGCCGCATAACAAGAAACACTTATTCAATAAAGTTCGGAGCCACTTAGGTGGTCTCCTTCTTCTTTCTTTTCTTCTTTTGCATTTGTATATAGCTTGCATGTTTCAATTTATATAGTCTAGAAGTAGAGATTTCTCCCTAAGGGTGAGGCGTGGTTTAGTCATATTCCGCCGCCTCTCTCTCTAAGGATTCATGAGACTTCATCTACTATCTAAGACTCATTGTTGAATTATGGATCCTTCCAATGAGGACGTGATATAATGGCCATCTTGAATCGATTGTTAAAAGGGGAAACCCTATGGTTCTCCATCTTTATTTATGCTTAATGCTTGTTGCTAGAGTAGCTAACTAGTGACTTGATTTTAGGTTGATATACTCTCCAAAAGCTTGTTATATCTCCGGACACAATATTTGATGGGCAAATCGTTTTAGGCTACGAAAGTAGACCTAAAGAGTTTTGTGAACAATCATTACTTGGATGTAATGCATGTCTCACTCTACAATGACCAACGAAAGCTGAGCCCATTGGTTTAAGAGACATAGGGGATTGGAACCACGAAAGTGGAATAATCCTTCCTTAGTGTTTTGAGTTCAAAAGAATCGGATTTTAACAAACTTTTCAATCGACTTGGCTCATGTTTTCAAAAGAGTTTTCAATAGTTCAATAATGTTGCTTGTATAGAATTGCATTGTTATTTGCTTTTGCGTGTTCTAAACAAACACAAACCCTTGCATCTTTTGATTTAGCTTAGTCATTTAAACTCTATGATTATGTAATGTGTGAAATCCAATCCCTTGTGGTTCGACCCCTAAATACTACAATTATATGTTGTGCACTTGCAACACTAGTTGTCTTAGGGAATTATTACTTGTACTCATCCCATAAGATGCAGCGCATATCAATAGTACTATTTTGTATCGAACATTCAAAATTAAGCAGCCCTTGATGTAAAAAACATTTTTTTGGGTTTGAATTAATTTTACATTCAATTTGGAAAAAAAAATGATTTATGCAAAAAGAAAATAGTTTCGGTTTTTAGTTTGATTATTCGATGAGATATGAATCATTATTAATGAATATTTTGTTAATTTGTGGATTAGAAATTATGTTCTTCGTTGATTCTATTCCTAAAACTAAATCAGAGTAAATACTGAAAAGAGATTAAACAGTAAAATAAGTAAATAGATTGGTGAACTAAGAAAATAGGTTATACATGAGTTACTGCGTATAAACGTACAACTGTTTGATTGACCCCAACGAAGGACTAAACTCATATCAATCAATATGTGTTGCTTTTGTGTTATGTTGTTATTTTGATAAAGAAGAATAATATAAGAGCCAAGAATAAGAAAAAAATTGAGAAAAGAAGATTGGAGGATAAAGAAGACAAAATTAAAGTATAAGAAGATAATACAAAAAAGAATCCGAAAATAAGATGTTTCAGAAGACAAATAAAATAGAGAAGATGAAAGAAGTACAATAAAAAATAAATAACAAAAAGGTATGAGGAAGAAGAAAAATGAGAAGATGAGAAAAAAAACAATAAAGAGGAAGACGAAACTGATAAATAAGATGTTGCAAAAAATAAGAAGATTGATAATACAAAATGATGAAGAATACAAGATGAAATAAGAACAAAAATCTGAATAAAAATAAAGAAAATACGAAAGTTGGAAGAGGAAGATGGGAAAGCAAAAGAAACAAAACAAAAGAAGAAAAGAATTGAAGAATATGTGAACAATAAAGAAGTTGGAAAAAATCAATAGATACAAAAAAATGAAGAATAAGAATTCAAAAGCCAATTGAAAAACAAAATTGTAACTAAAAGTAAGAAAATCAATAAAAACCATGAAATAGAAAGATAACGATGAAGAGAGAGGAAAAGAAAATAGAAAATTCGATAAGAATAAGGAAAAAAAGAGTTAGAAGATGAAGGAAAACAGTATGAAATAAGTAAAAAACAAATTAAAAGAAGAAGAAGATAAAATGGGGTTGGCATCAGTTGTTAAGATAAGATACCGCGCCCAAGCCCTAAAATCAAGTTTAAAGAGTGCAGCCGTCTTCTCTTTGGAGAATTTTCGAGTTCAGATGCTGTAGAGGAGAAAAGTTGAGTTTTTGGAGAGATTTTCGAATTTTACTGTTCATCGGGTTACTGTTCATCGGGGGTACTGTTCATCGTCGGGATTTCGGCACTGTTCATCGTTTCCTTTTTCCTTCAGTTTCAATCATTGTCAAGGTGAGTGCATGACTGTGGGTCCGTGATTTGCTAGATTAGATTTGGTTTGTGGTTGTTCTTGATGAGTTTATGTTTTAATTGTTATTTTTATGATATTTTGGTTGTTCATGTGATGAATTGTGTGTTTGTGTGGTTTAATCTGGTTTATTGGTTTAATTGAATTTAATTGATTTGATTCTGGTTTATCTTGGTTCAATTGAATTTGAATTGGTTTATATTGGTTTAATTGAATTTAATTGGTTTAATGGAATTAAATAGATTTAATTCGGATTTAATTAATTAAATAATATTTATTTAATTAATTGGTTTAAAATAATTATTTTAATTATTTTAAAATATGGAAAATTATTATTTAATTATGAGAATTATTTAATAATTGAGAAATTGAGTTTTAATTATTAAAAATTATTTAATAATTGGAAAATGGTATTTAATAATTATTGGAGTTTATAAATATTATTAAATATCTAGTAAATTGCGTAAATGGCTCGTAGGCAGAGTGATTGCCTCACTAAGTATTTATTAAATACTTACGCAACTCCATTCCAATGTGTTGCAGGTAAAAGATTTGTGTGATCGCGGAATCAAGGCTGAAGAGGGGGATGATAGGATGTTTACTGTTTTATTGTTTTGCATTATTTTGCTAGACTTGTTTAATTATTATTTGCTTCCGCTGAGCTGATTTATTTGTTATTGATATTTTATTTATTTAATTTTTTTTAAGACCTTCGCTAGAATTGATTAATATTTATTAAAAAAAAAAAATGTTGGTTGTTTCATTTTGGTATCAGAGCCTAGACGGTTTTAGGACTGTTAGAATTGCTAGGTTAGTATCATCCCCTTCAGCTACAAGAGATTCCGCGGTGAGTTTATGTTTGTTTTGAGTTTTGGTTGCGTGTTCTAGTGTGCTCTTTTTGGTTCCATGAGTGAGATGGACTGAGTAGCTAGAGGTTGTGGCGCGAGAGGGCGCGGTGCTCGAGGCCGTGGTGGCAGAGCTAGAGGCCGTGGAGGCCGGGGCCGAGTGTGGACTTCGGCGGATTCGGGAGAGAGTGTGGCGCCTAGTGTGGCGACTGCGTCGGTGACCCAGTCGGTATCCGTGGCGAGTGAGGCCAGTGTGGATGCGAGTGTTGGTTTGGGAGCGGGGGCTGCTCCGGGTTGGGGTGGTGCTCCGGCTCAGGGTCTTGATGACTTAGTGGTGGGTTTGCTGACGCAGTTATTGGCTCGTTTTCCGCCAGTGGTTCCACAGGGGCTCCGGGAGTACCTCCAGTGGCAGAGGTGCAGCAGAGGGCTGCGGGATTTGTTCAGCCGCAGGCTGTGGGTTTGATGGTGCCGCCTATTTGGATATGATGGGGCACATGCAGAGGATTGGTACGCCGTACTTTGAGGGCGGAGTTAGCCAGAGGCGGCATATGAGTGGCGTCAGAGATTGGAGCGGAATTTCCAGTCTATCAGATTTTGGTTTAGTACCAGGTTGAGTTGGCAGTCCACTATCTGAGTGGAGATGCACATTTGTGGTGGCGGCCATCGAGGGCATAATGTTGTTGTTGCTGTGTGTTGTTCATTTATCTGTGATAGTTTTGGAGGTTCTCAACGCAATTGAATGTGTAGGGACCTTGTTAGTGGGCGGTTTTGAGTCCCACGTTTTATTCGACTCTGGAGCATCGAATTGCTTCATTACACCGGAGCGTGCCGAGAAGAGTGGCATCCGGAGTAGCGCGGGCGAGAGCGCGGGCATGGTCAAGGTGGCGGGAGGTGGATTCTTGTCTACTTTGGGCCGTGCTAGAGGAGTCGAGATCGAGATTGCGGGGCAGTCAATGCCAGCAGACTTAGTCATCAGTCCGGTGGAGCTGTATGACGTTATTCTCGGGATGGACTGGTTGTCACACTACAGAGTTCATCTGGATTGCTACAGAGGTAGAGTGGTCTTCGAGCGAGATGCAGGGAGGTTGGTTTATCAGGGAGTGAGACCGACTTCCGGGAGTATTGTGATATCTGCTATTCAGGCCGAGCAGTTGTTAGAGCGGGGCTGTGAGGCGTATCTGGCGACGATTTCTATGTCTGAGTCAGGAGCTGGAGTTGTTATGGGAGATATTGAGGTTGTCCAGGATTTTGAGGATGTCTTTCAGTCACTGAAGGGATTACCACCATCTCGGTCTGATCCTTTCACGATTGAGTTAGAGCCGGGGACAGCACCGATATCGAAGACGCCTTACAGGATGGCGCCAGCTGAGTTGGCAGAGCTGAAGAAGCAGATAGAGGACCTTTTGTCTAAGGGGTTCATTCGACCAAGTGTTTCACCGTGGGGAGCACCGGTGTTGTTTGTGAAGAAGAAGGATGGGAGTTTCAGACTTTGTATCGATTACAGAGGTCTTAACCGAGTCACTGTGAAGAACAGGTACCCACTCCCGAGGATTGATGAGTTGTTGGATCAGTTGAGGGGTGCTACTTGGTTCTCCAAGATTGACTTGGCATCGGGGTATCATCAGATCCCGATAGATGAGGCAGATGTCAGGAAGACTGCTTTCAGGACGCGTTATGGGCATTTTGAGTTTGTGGTTATGCCTTTCGGTTTGACTAACGCGCCGGCAGCCTTCATGAGATTGATGAACGACGTGTTCAGGGAGTATTTGGATGTGTTTGTCATCATTTTCATTGATGATATTCTGGTATACTCGAGGAGTCAGGAGGAGCATGCGACTCACTTGAGGTTGGTTCTGGAGAAGCTTCGGGAGCAGAAGCTTTTTGCTAAGTTGAGCAAGTGCAGTTTCTGGCAGCGAGAGATGGGATTTCTTGGCCACATTGTTTCTGCAGAGGGAGTTTCTGTGGATCCGGCTAAGATTGAGGCTATCAGAGATTGGCCTAGACCTAGTAGTGCCACCGAGATCAGGAGTTTTCTGGGTTTGGCAGGATACTACAGGAGGTTCGTCAAGGGGTTTGCTACCATGGCGCAGCCGATGACGAAGTTGACCGGGAAGGATGTCCCTTTTATTTGGTCAGCTGAGTGTGAGGAGAGCTTTAGTCAGCTCAAGGAGATGTTGACTACTACACCAGTGTTGGCGTTACCCGAGCCAGGGAAGCCTTACATGGTGTATACAGATGCTTCAGGCATTGGTCTTGGTTGTGTGCTGATGCAGGAGGGCAGAGTGATAGCATATGCTTCGAGACAGTGGCAGGGCAGTGAGCGTAACCGTCCTACACATGACTTAGAGTTGGGAGCAGTGATCTTCGCGTTGAAGATTTGGAGGTCTTACTTGCTAGGTGAGACAGTACAGGTCTTCACGGATCACAAGAGTTTGCAGCATATCTTCACTCAGCCGATGATGAACGCGAGACAGACGCGCTGGGTTGAGTTCTTGGCGGATTATCAGGTGAGCATTAACTACCATCCGGGCAAGGCTAACCTAGTGGCGGACGCGTTGAGTAGACGGAGGTATGATTCCGCAGTTGAGCGAGATGTGGAGTCTCTAGTTGGCGAGATCAGTACCTTGCGTTTGTGTGCCATTTCGCAGGAGCCTTTGGGTTTAGAGGCAGTGGATCAGGCGGATCTACTTAGCAGGATCAGAGTTGCTCAGCAGAGTGATCAGAGTTTGCTGGATGCGACGAGAGTGACTGGTTCTGAGTATGAGGTCTCTGCGAATGGGACTATCTTGGTTCGTGGGCGAGTTTGTGTGCCTAAGGATGTGGAGTTGAGACATCAGATTTTGGGAGAGGCTCACGCGAGCAAGTTTTCCATTCATCCGGGAGCGACCAAGATGTACCATGACCTCAAGAGGTACTATCATTGGGTCGGGATGAAGAGGGATGTAGCAGACTGGGTTGCGAAGTGCAACACTTGTGCCTTGGTGAAGGCAGAGCATCAGGTTCCGGGTGGTCTTTTGCAGAGTTTACCCATTCCAGAGTGGAAGTGGGACAGGATTACGATGGATTTCGTGGTTGGACTACCTGTTTCGAGGACTTTCGATGCTATCTGGGTGATTGTGGATCGGTTGACTAAGTCGCACATTTCTTGGCCATCAAGAAGACAGATGGAGCTGCTGTCTTGGCTAGGAAGTTTGTGCGAGAGATTGTGAGGCTGCATGGAGTGCCAGCTAGTATTGTGTCAGACCGTGATCCCAGATTCACTTCAGAGTTTTGGAGGGCGTTTCAGGCAGAGATGGGCACTAAGGTGCATCTGAGTACAGCTTATCATCCGCAGACAGATGGTCAGTCAGAGAGGACTATTCAGACTTTGGAGGATTTGCTGAGGATGTGTGTGTTGGATTGGGGTGGCCATTGGGCAGATCACCTGAGCTTAGTTGAGTTTGCATACAACAACAGCTTTCAGGCGAGTATTGGCATGGCTCCATTTGAGGCTTTGTATGGGAGGCCATGTAGGACACCCCTATGCTGGACCCAAGTGGGGGAGCGCAGCATGTATGGAGCTACTTATGTTCAGGAGACGACAGAGAAGGTTCGTGTTGTGAGGCTGAACATGAAGGAGGCTCAGGATAGGCAGAAGAGTTATGCAGATAGACGCAGACGAGAGCTTGAGTTTCAGGTTGGAGATAGAGTTTATCTCAAGATGGCTATGTTGAGGGGTCCTAACAGATCCATAGCAGAGAACAAGCTGAGTCCGCGTTTTATGGGTCCGTTTCCAGTAGTGGAGCGAGTTGGGCCATTGGCTTACAGGCTGGAGTTGCCTGAGATTATGAAAGCCTTTCACAAGGTTTTTCATGTGTCGATGCTGAGGAAGTGTCTTCATCCTACAGAGGAGTTAGTGGCTAGGATTCCAGAGGATCTTCAGCCAGATTTGACAGTGCCGGCAGTGCCTGTGAGGATTTTAGAGAGGAGGGAAAAGGTTCTGAGGAACAAGAGGATTCCCTTACTGAGGATTTTGTGGGATTGCAGTGGTTCTACAGAGGAGACTTGGGAGCCAGAGGCAAAGATGAAGTTGAAGTTCAGGAAGTGGTTCGACAAGCAGGTCGAGGAGTGAGCTTATTTCATCTTTGTAGCCTCAGTTGTTATTTTTGGCTTTGGTGTTATTGTATTTTCGTTTTCGTTGTAACGATATACATTTTGGAGTTTTAATGAGATGCAGTTTTTCCTCATTTTGCCTTGTGTTGTGAAAATGGTATTCGGATGTTACACATGTTTGACCAGTTTTTGGTTGTGAGACGGTCTAATCTTATGGTTATAGACATTTTCCGGAATTTTTACTCTAAGGATTGCGATCCTGAATAACTCATCATGTTTTTGGAGACTTCGTTCTCTGGCAGACTCTCTGGGTGCAAGTAGGCCTCAGTTGAGTGTAGCTTATGGGTGCAAGTAGGCCTCAGTATAAGCAGTTTAGTTCATCTGGGTGCAAGTGGGCCTCAGTATGGACGTTTTCGGGTTCGTCTGGGTGCAAGTGGGCCTCAGTGCGGACCGGTGTGGACTTGTCTGGGTGCAAGTGGGCCTCAGTACAAGTGTGTTTGGATGATGAGTTAGGAGTGAAATTTTCTTGGAACGTGTTTATGACATAAGATATGACGTTTGTCTCGGGGATCAAGTGAGGATCTCCGGTGTTGCGGCCTTGCGAGGTTGGGTTTTGTGGTCTTTGTGACGTTTGCGTTGGGATTCGAGGACGAATCCAGTTTAGTGGGGAAGAGTTGTAACATCCATAAACCAAAAATTGGGAATTTTGTCGGTTCAATTTAAGTGAATTGGTTTGGGTCGGTTTAGTGGAGAAAGCCCTAAAATCAAGTTTAAAGAGTGCAGCCGTCTTCTCTTTGGAGAATTTTCGAGTTCAGATGCTGTAGAGGAGAAAAGTTGAGTTTTTGGAGAGATTTTCGAATTTTACTGTTCATCGGGTTACTGTTCATCGGGTTACTGTTCATCGTCGGGATTTCGGCACTGTTCATCGTCCTTTTTCCTTCAGTTTCAATCAATTGTCAAGGTGAGTGCATGACTGTGGGTCCGTGATTTGCTAGATTAGATTTGGTTTGTGGTTGTTCTTGATGAGTTTATGTTTTAATTGTTATTTTTATGATATTTTGGTTGTTCATGTGATGAATTGTGTGTTTGTGTGGTTTAATCTGGTTTATTGGTTTAATTGAATTTAATTGATTTGATTCTGGTTTATCTTGGTTCAATTGAATTTAATTGGTTTATATTGGTTTAATTGAATTTAATTGGTTTAATGGAATTAAATAGATTTAATTCGGATTTAATTAATTAAATAATATTTATTTAATTAATTGGTTTAAAATAATTATTTTAATTATTTTAAAATATGGAAAATTATTATTTAATTATGAGAATTATTTAATAATTGAGAAATTGAGTTTTAATTATTAAAAATTATTTAATAATTGGAAAATGGTATTTAATAATTATTGAAGTTTATAAATATTATTAAATATCTAGTAAATTGCGTAAATGGCTCGTAGGCAGAGTGATTGCCTCACTAAGTATTTATTAAATACTTACGCAACTCCATTCCAATGTGTTGCAGGTAAAAGATTTGTGTGATCGCGGAATCAAGGCTGAAGAGGGGGATGATAGGATGTTTACTGTTTTATTGTTTTGCATTATTTTGCTAGACTTGTTTAATTATTATTTGCTTCCGCTGAGCTGATTTATTTGTTATTGATATTTTATTTATTTAATTTATTTTTAAGACCTTCGCTAGAATTGATTAATATTTATTAAAAAAAAAAAAATGTTGGTTGTTTCATGATTAGCTTGAGAGAATCAGTAGAAGAAACAGAGAAATAAAGTCTCGGAAGAGGGATTAAAGCAGAAACTGTTCCCTCAATCAATGATCAAATTAGTTTTGACAGTCTCAATCGCTCAGAGGGATTAAGGCAAATAACCAAGATGAGAAACAAAGAAGAGGGATCTCGATGATGAGATTAACAATGTTCCGGTGGGAATAAGGTAGAAACATTGTTCGATTTTGTTGTCGGCAAATGAAGAAAAACAACGAATCATTTCTAATTTCAATGTGATAGCAAAACCGAACCGTAAAAAACCAAAACAATGGAACCGGGAATTGGAAACGCGGTTATTAATTAAACAGGATACGAAAAAGAAAAGTTTGGAATATATGAGACTTTTTAACTATCAAAACAGTGATTTAAAAATAAAGAGATTAATTTATTAAATGGAATTGAATGCAAAATAATTAAACTAAAAATATATATAAATAAATTAAGTATAAATCATAAACTCAGAGCTGGAAAAGCTAAACTAATAAATAAAATTAAAAAGGAAATTAACAACTAAAATATGTATTAGACTAATATTGGATTGTACAAAAACTTGCCGGATGACCTTTAATGGATATAAAAAATTAAAAAGTGTCTAATGAATAGTAAAATTAAGGGATTAATTTAAGAAATGTGAGGATAGGCTGTTGTATGTTTTTTACAGAAAATATGTTTTTAAAAGTACCTTACTTATTATGACTAATTATAAAATAATTAAATTGGTTAAGTAAAAAATAATTAAAAAGTATATTACAAAGAAAAGTTTATAAAAAAAAAAGTGAAGCGTTTGTAAAAAAAAATATATAACAGTTTAATATATCATTAGAACACGCGGGTCAAAAACCTAGTACTTAGAAGAAGAGGAAGCTGGAATAAACATACTCTAGGGAAATCTACATTTTTTATGGATAAAAATCATAGAATAAATAGAAGAATAAAACCAACAAAAAAAAGTAGATGAAGAAAAGGAAAGACGAAGATAGCAAAAAACAAAAATATAAATTAAAAAATACACACATAATAAGGCTAAACCAGAAAACTAAATAAAAGATGAAATCGAAGAATATGAAAACGAAAGCTATGCTTAACTATATCTTTATGATCACATAAATTGAATTATTTATATTATTGTTAGACATTGCTCAGTATGTGTGTGAATATATATTCGTATATCTCTAACTTTATTTTATTTCTATGAATCTTTTTACATTTTTAAGATTGGTTAAATGTATCCCATAATAGTGAAAATTTTATTTTAGATAAGATTAAATTAAAGAGGATTACAATAAAATTAATTCTAAGAGGGGTAAAATCGTGAAACAATTCCAGCAGAGAATAATCAAGAAAAAAAAACTAAAAAAATACTATAGCAAAACTCTAGCAACTTCGACTGTCTGAACTAATCAGAGAAGAAACAGGAGAACAATAACCAATATGAGCACATGAATAAGAAGGAACATAAAAAGAAGTGAAGATAAGAATATCAAAGAACAAATACATAAAAAACTAAACCAAAGATGCAGAAACATACCAAATAACGGAATAAGAAACCGGGAGGGTAAAGAAACATGAGAGAAAGATGAGGAAGAGTAAAGATAAAGAAGAAACCAAATAAAGGAAAATATACCGAAGAAAAATAAACAAAGTACGAAGAATAAGAACAGCAGTTCAATAATCACCATAAACATGTTACTAATAAAAAAGTTTATGAATAAAAATATTTAATCATCTATTAAAATAGATCCACGTAGCGTAAGAAAAAACCTAATATATATTAGAGAATGAAAAAAGTAAGCGTATGCAAGTTGGTAATTATTTGGAAGCACAAGGAATGCCATCTTCCACTTGGTGATGGGTTATTTTAATATTTGAAAGCAAATAAATATTGTGGGATACCAATCTTTATCGTCATCAACCATTCCCCCATGTTCATGCCCACTTTTATTCCCCCAAGCTTTTACAAAAATTTCAGTAAAGCTCAAACATATTTGTAATAATCAAATTATATATATAAAGTTTATGTGATTGTATTTTGGTATTGTCACCTTATTCAAAGTGGGTGTTTCTAAATTCACCAATTGGCCATATCAGCATTGTATTTATTAATTTTAATTTATTATATTTTCTCTTCTTATAGTTTAATTCTTTGTGATCATTCATTAATATAATCATTAAATAATATAATAGTTTTTGAAAAAAATTGAAAAGTCATTTTTGTAAAAGAAAAGAAATATTATGTATAAATCTTAAAAAATAATAATTAATAATAATATATTATACAAAGAACATTGTTTTTCTATAGTATTTTTGGATGTAAAGAGACGATATTAAATATGACGAGACGAAAAAAAATGGAATCGGAGAAGAGGGGAATTTTGTTTACTTCTTATGATATTAAGTGACGAGACGAGATTAAAGGAACGGAAAATAACGGAATAGGACAAGATAGAAATTTCACCTACCTTTAATTATATTTAGGGGTGGAACGGAAAAAACAAAAAAAAACATGATGAGAGAGGACAAGACAGAAATGTTGGACGGGACAAAATGAAAAGAAATGGAATGTGACAGGATTGGACGGGACGAGATGAAAAAGACATAATGGGACGGGAAGAGACGGAACGGGAATTTTGCCTACCCCTAATTATATTTAGAGATGAGATAGAGATAAGACAAAATGGAAATGAAGATATGATGAGACTGGATGGGGCGGACAGAATGAACAGGATGAGAAAGAACATGACAAGATGAAAATGAACGGAATGGGATAAATTATGTCTACCCCTAATTATATTTAGGGAACGAGACAATAATAAACAAAATGAAAAAAATCATAATGGAATAGAATATGACTGAACGGGACATGACAGGACGAACGTGACAGAAAAGAACGTACAAGATGAAAATGAACGAAATGGACGAGATGGAACAAGATGGTACAAAACATTTATCTAACTCTAATTATATTTAAATAATATGTGTATAATATTTTTGAAACAATACTTCAGAGTATTAAATTTGCGGGAAAACAATAAAACTAATACAATCGTGCGTAGCGTGGATCACCACTACTACTAGTTGTATATAAAATCACATGTTGCATCTTTCATAGTTAGCTGATTAATAATGATCCATGCCATGCACTTTGTTCGATTAAATTTCAGTTTAATATGCATTTGCTGATGCGTTATCTAATTGCTGATATAAAACTCTTTAACAAAAAAAAAAATGCTGATATAAAACTAAACTGACCTGTCAAAATGAGTGGAAACAACAGAAAAATCCAAAAATGAGTTATGATGAATTAGTCTAAGATTAGAAAAAGATCATGATAAATCCATAATTAAAACACGGATAATCCGAATGATCATCAAATAATAATCTAGAATCTCATGTCTTATAATGATAGATTTGGAAAATCAAAAATTGTCTATACATAGAAAAGGACCAGAGATTTTTGAACTTAAGGGTAAAAATGCGCAGAGACAGAATCAGACATTGGTAGACTACAAACACACCGTCAGTTATTAATTAGTATATAATTACAGTGAGAAAAATGAAAAGACGAAAAATACCATCGTCTCTTTAAAAGGGGAAGGAGAGATGGTAGCCAAACATTCCATAGAAAAACAAAAACGTAAGAAGGAGCTTCTTTTTTTCTCCTTAGCGAATCCCATTTTCCTTCTCTTCTCTTCTGCTGCACAAATTTTCTTGCCCCTTGTTTCTGTTTGTTTGTTTTCCTAATTAAACAGTAAACTTTTATTGGACGAAAATCGAAAAAAAAGAGGGCCTCTCCCCCTCTTATTAAAAGCTTCCTCCTCTCCAATCTTTAGATTGCAATCTCGTTTCTTTTTTTCTCTTCTCCGTTTTCTTCAACTTCGGTATTTGTCTCTCGAACTCGTCTTTCTTCTTCTTTTTTCTCTTATGGGTTTTTGTTTTCTTCTTTCAAAGTTTGATCTTTTTTTATCGACCCATTTGGTGTTATTTTTTGTTGTCTGTTTGTTTCAGGAATCGAGGATCGTGGGTCGATCGGTTCATAGTCACCGATCAAGACCCAGCTGTTCTATTTCATCCTATTTTATTCCCGTAAGGTTTGTTCGATTCTCTTCTCTTCTCTTAATCCACATTTTTTTTTGTTTTTAAAACAGATGATCTTTTCAGTTAAGACCGATGAGATGTATATATACTGGGTGATAAAAGCTTTCCTTTTCTTATTTTTTTTCTCAGAATGGAAATGGAATCATCTAAGCTGTTCATTGGTGGGATTTCCTGGGAGACGAGCGAGGATCGTCTTCGCGAGTATTTTCAGAGTTTCGGTGAGGTTATAGAGGCTGTGATCATGAAGGATCGAGCCAGTGGTCGTGCTCGTGGATTTGGTTTCCTTGTCTTCGCTGACCCCAATGTTGCTGAGAGAGTCGTCTTGCTCAGACACATTATCGATGGTAAAATTGTAAGTCTCCATCAATGAGGTTGCTTCCAATGTCAATTTGCTTCCTTTTCGAATGATTTAGAAGTTGCTGCTCCTCAAAGCAAAGCTTCTCTCTTTATTCATTGTCACAAGTCAGCGAGCACCAAAACCAAAAGAGAAAGAGCATATATCTCTCTCTCTCTCTGATATTTATAGTTTCTCTCTATGATCACAGGTTGAGGCAAAGAAGGCAGTGCCAAGAGATGATCACGGAGTGTTGAACAAAAGTAACAGCAGCCTCCAGGGATTACCTGGCCCAGCTAACTGCAGGAAGATATTTGTGGGAGGTTTGGCTTCATCGGTGACAGAAGCTGAGTTCAAGAACTACTTTGCTCAGTTTGGGATGATCACTGATGTTGTGGTCATGTATGACCACAGAACTCAGCGGCCGAGAGGCTTTGGGTTTATCTCGTATGACTCAGAGGAAGCTGTAGACAAAGTCCTGCAGAGGACATTCCACGAGCTCAACGGCAAGATGGTGGAAGTCAAACTCGCCGTTCCTAAGGAGATGACCCTGACCCCAATCCGGAACCAAATGAATGTAAATAGCTTTGCAAGTAGTAGAATCAGCGCATTGCTTGATTACACCCAAGGATTCAGCCAGAGTCCAGTCTCAGCTTATGGAGTGAAACCTGAGGTTAGGTACAGTCCAGCAGTAGGTAATAGGGGTGGATTCTCACCATTTGGACATGGTTATGGAATCGAGCTCAACTTTGAGCCAAACCAGACTCCCAACTATGGATCTTCTGTTTCCAGTGGAGGCTTTGGACGTCCTTTTAGCCCTGGATATGCTGCGAGTCTTAACAGGTACGGTAACCAGATGGAGACGGTAGGAGCCAGTGTTGGGAACGGTTCTGCAGCAACAAAGAACCATTTATGGGGAGGAGCTAGTGGTGGTCTAGGTCACATCTCAAACTCTCCGATCTCCAGAAGCACTCCTAATGGAATGTCTTCTTCACTAGGCAGCATCGGAGACAACTGGGGAGCATCTGGACGTGGACGTAGCGGCTACCGCGGGGAGGGAGGAGTCATAGGATTAGAAGCAATGAGAGGAGGTCATGTTGGTGGTTACAGCAGTGGCTCAAGCAGCTTGGAGGCAGACTCTCTGTACAGTGATTCGACTTGGTTCTCACTGCCTGCAAAGGCGGATGAGAGATTGGGAATGGGAGCATTGGACTTCATGTCTAGAGGACCAGCTGGATACATCAACAGGCACCCAAACGGAGGTACTAATAATGACCAATGAATACCTTTTTATTTTAAGATGAAAATTGGTGTTTTTGGGAAAATCTTGATGAAACATATGAAAATGTTCTTGTTGCAGGAATTGCAGCTTAGGGAAGTGAGAAAATCTATTCCATGGGGATCAGATGATGATTTGGCTATTTTACAGAAGAGAGTTTTTAGAAGAGGAAAAAATATTATAACTTATTTGTTCCAAAAAAGCTTAAAGCTTTTCTTTACCTTTTTTTACTATTTTGATTGTTGTTAATGTTATAGTGTGTGTTTTTTTGTATTTTGACCTTTTTCTAATTTGGGGTTTTGTTTCTTTTATCTCAAAAGAGAGAAAAAAATGTAAACTGAATTATAAAGAGACAAAGAAGTGTATTACGTTCTTGTCTTTTTCTTCCTTTCCTATATAAATCAAGATATTGACATATTCAAACATGTATACAAATTGAATAAAAGAGCAATGTATTGCCTAGAATGTAGGCAACGGTGTGTGAATGCGACATGTGGCCAACATGTGGATGATGATAAGCCAAGAGGACAAAAAGCAATCTCATCATCCCCATCACAATAATCATCCATTTATGGTGAAGTGGACCAAAAGAGAGAGAAGCGAGTGTAACAGTCCTCAAAATACAGACGAAACATCCAAATCCCACAACTCTCTGAGAGCTTCAAGACTTCACTGGAAACGCCACCATTCTGTCCCCACACTCTTTCTCTATAAGGTTTACGAATCCCACAAGACTCTCTGTCTCTCAGAGCAACACAGAAGCAGTAAAGATGCGTTTGCTAGTAGCACAAGTAGCTGCAGCAGCTTCACCATTGTCTTCTCCAGCATGTAACTCCCATAGTTGCAGATGGAAGCCTTACTCAAACTCCACTGACTTCCAAGCAAACGCATCCGTACTTCTCATCCTTCTCTTCTCTTCTCTCATATGTGCTCTCTCTCTCTACACTGCGATCCGGTGCTTTCTCCGGCCAGCTCTCGAGACTGACGACGGTCAACACAAGCCTGATCCTGAGGCTGATGTTACATCCGCCACACCAACTCCCACGCTTGTCTACTCCTCCGACCTAGAGCTTGCAGGTGCTGAAGCAGAGTGTGCTATTTGCTTGTCAGAATTCGAACAAGGTGAGAGTATCCAAGTGCTGGAGAAATGTCACCATGGGTTCCATGTCAAATGCATCCACAAGTGGCTCTCTTCCCGCTCCTCCTGTCCTATTTGCCGGACTTCTATCTTCTCACACCAGACCTTAGACTCTGCACCATCCACGGAAGCTCCTTCAAGCCAGATCAATGCTTAGCTTAGCTTTCCTCAATTCTTCTATCAGTTTTTCATGTTTTTTCAAAAGCTTAAGACTTGTATCATGTTTTCTTGAGATTATCCAGTTGCTGTTCTGTAAGAGGAAAAAACATAAAACACACACAACCAGACAGAGTAATTGTGGGACGTAAAACTCACACTTAAAAATTTGATAGTAATTTAGGGATGAGGAAGAAGTGGGTAAGATTCTCACAAGCACTCAAGAACTTAGACTCAAGAATAAGCAAAGATGGACTTTATATTGATCAAACAAAGATTAAGGTTACAAGGTATTTCTGGGAATACAAGAGCTCGAGAAGCGTACAATGATAGATTTTGGATAACAAGTGTTCAAATGAGTCAAAGATGATGAATGATGATGAGAAGAAGATCCCCTTTCTGCTTGGACATCTGCTCCTTTTATAGTTCTCCTACGAGTGCTTGTATTTCGCCTGCTTCCATGATCTTCGGGATCTCCTGCTGCATGTGCTCCGGATTTAGTGGGATCTCTACCGAGCAACTAACTCCGGATTTCTCAGGACTATGCCGAACGACCTTGACTAAGTCCTGATACCTCTTACGTACGGTAGCTCGATATCTCGACAGCTCGTAACTTGAGGTCTCGCCAGCTCGATGAAGATTGGAATGGACATTTAAACTGGTGAGCCCAGGTAAACAGACTTTATAGAATCGTTTAATGGATCTTAAGCAGGAAGAGATTTATGTGCTAAATCTGGGTCCAACAATAGTCCCCTAGCCTATTGAGCGAAGTGATGAGCTCGATAGGCGAAAAGCAGAGAATAAGTCAAGATTTCCTCTTTCATGCCTTTGCATCTTTACAATTTTGATTCCGTAGTTGGTTTCAAAGATAGCATATTTGACCCCATATCGAGTTGTCATGCTGAAGTTCGATTACGGAACAAACATTGTATTTTGTTTTATAGAAAATTTCGACAAAAGATTTCGTGTCGAGTTCTTATGTTGCTGAGCTGTAGCTCACTAATATCGTTTAAACTTGAGTTGGTCATCAAGTTTTTGTTTGATTGTGGAAATCGCTTGAGTTTTCAAATTTTGACCTAAGTGTTTGTCAAAAATTTGATAAGTGCTATGAGTTACAATTTTTCGTTATCGAGCCGTAGGTCGATCACCTTTTGAGCGTAAATGCGTGGTATCGTCGAAATTCGACTAAGGGTTTTGTGTCGAATTCGTTTGCTTTTGAACCGGAGCTCGATTATGGACTTGATAAATAATTTTGTTTTATCATTGATCTTCGATTAAGTGTTGTGTCGAAAATTTGCATCTTTGCCTTAGAATCGAGCTAGAGTTCGATTTTACCGTTACAAATTCGACTGAGTGTCAGTCAAATTTCGGTTGAGTGATTCGAGTCAAAATGTTTTTCGACTTGTCCGATTGCGTTGTTTGGTTTTTGTTTTGTCAACTCGTATTGAACGATGGATCGAGTTCATGTTCGATGTGTTCTGCGAATAGATGAGCTCAAGATGTTTAGTCTGGCCAGACGTTTTTGATGGATCATTTGTAGATCCGAGCTCATGAGTCATAGATCGTTTTAAGAGATCTATGTCGTAAATCGTTTGAAAAGATCGTACGGTGTTTGGGATAATTATTCGCGTGAGCCCGACTAGAGTAAGGTTCGTTCTTACGTTTTGTTCGTCGAGCTAAGTTGACTTGTTTTAATGTGCATGGACGTAATGAATCAAGAAAGTTGAAAAAAGTGTATCGATTTTGAATAGAAGGAGTTGGTTACCGTAAATGTATTACACAACTAAAATTTTCAAAAATAGAAGAGTAGGACGATGAGGAAGGATAGCATCAGCTCGTCGCGTGATCGTCTTTGGATAGGAGGGCGGCTGAACTCGAGTGTGAGCTGCCTACGTACCCCGTCGGGTGATCAAGCCTTTACGTAGTTCGATTGGTTTACTACTTAATAGTAGTATCATTTCAGATCGAGCGAGCTGTCAAGCTTCGAGTTACTGTTGACACATGTTTCGGGATGTTTGTCGTTTTTGTGTAATTGCTTTGCAGAAGGGCTTGCAATTTGTTTGAACGAGCTCACGTAGCACGTTCTCGCGTTTTCTTGGTTTCCACGGATTATTTTTTATTCCGTTCGGGCTCAGGAGCTTAACACATTGGTGATAAGTTGAAGGTACTGCTTTCATCGCGTAGATCCAAGGTCTTCCCAGTATAGCATTATAAGGGGCTGGGCGATCTACTACGACAAAATTAACTGGTTTTCGGACTCCTCCCGCAGTAACGACGAGTTGGATGGTTCCGAGAGAGTAAGTCGTTTCCCCGGAAAAGCCGGTGAGTGGAATTTTTCTATCAATTAGATTGGAATGTGTAAATCCCATCCTTCTGAATGCATTGTAGAACAGAAGATCAACTGAGCTTCCAGTATCGATCATTATTCTCGACAGCTCGAATCCTGATACATCGAGCTGGACTACGAGGGCATCGTGGTTTGTCCAAGTTAAGCGTTTCGCTTTCGAGGAATGTGATTTCGGTGTCCGGCTCGGTGAGAGCTCGAGGACGATTCGAGCTTGAGCTAGCTTTTCAACGAAAAGCTTTAATCGAGTTTACCGAGTTTCGGCAAAATCCTGAGCCGCCCGATATGAAATTTATTCTTTTGGGGGCATATGCCTCTACACCCGCCCCCTTGCAAAGGCTTAATTCTCTAAGACGTTGGCATAAAGTCCTTTTGGGAGCAGGTGGGAGAAGGTCTAATGATTTCATCGAGCCTACGCAGTGTTCGAACTCTCTGACAATCATATCGATTCGTAGCTTGAGTGCGGGAGGGGGGGAGTCATCCTCGTCCGCATCTCGATTTCTTTTATTTTTATCATACGTGGAGCGTCTGCTCGACTGCTGGTTATTTTTAACAACATCATATATCTTTTCCCCTTCTGGTTCTCTCTTTGGCGCTTTTTTCTGGGGGTTTGATCCCGGGCCAAGTAGGCCGGCATTAAATTTTCCTTCAAATATTTTGTATTCTTGCTCGTGCAAATGCATTGGCTTTATGCAGAGCATCGTCTAGACCTGAATTGTGTCTGAGTTGTAATTCTTCCTTAAATTTAGAAGAGAACCACAGTCCGTATGTCAGAGCTCGGAGAGCTACGGTTTCGTTAAGGTTGGGAATCTGTGCTTTAATTTGTTTGAAGCGGTCTATATAACTGCGAAGTGGTTCGCCTTGACCTTGCGTTAGGGTCCATAGGTCGGCTTTCGTAGCTTGAGTCGCGATAAATACTGAATATTGTTTCAGAAATACGGAGACAAGCTGGGTAAAATTATCTATGGATCCGGGTTCGAGGCTCGAGAACCATTCCAAGGCCGAGCCGGTGAGGTTTTCTACGAAGAATTTGCAGTGACATGCTTCTTCTTCCTCGGCTGAGAGATGCGCTTTAGTTATTGCTAACATAAAGGATCGAACATGTGCTCGAGGGTCGCTATTACCGGAGTATTCGGGAAATTTAATCTTTCCGGCATCCCTTAACCTAGCGTGAGCTATTTTCTTGGTGAAGGGAGTGGAACGGGTTTCTCTGATTACTAAGTCGATGTCGGGTGCGGAGCTTGTCGCTGCGTGCACGTATGATTTCATGTTTTCGAAAGTCAGAGCGTTCCTTTCGAAATTGCGTTGGTCGATGTCATCGAGCTTCTGCTCGATACTCGATGACAGTGAGGCTGACGCGCCGTTAGATATCGGCGCGGCTGTAGCTGGTGTCTGGTTCGATCCGAACGTAGTCGGAAGTGGCGCCTGATTCGATCCGAACGTAGTCGGAGGTGGCGCCTGATTCGATCCGAACATAGTCTGAGGTGGCGCCTGATTCGATCCGAACGTAGTCGGAGGTGACGCCTGGTTCGATCAGAATGTCATCGGAGGCGGTGGCGGGAGCTGTTCATTCTCGCGAACAGATGCTCTGTGAGAACTCGATCTATTGAAGATCGGAGCGTGTTGGTGCGATCCACTGAGGTGAATTCCTGCACCTTGGGGCGTTTGGGACTGGTTCCCCATTTCCGGGGTTCCGGAGGAAGGCGAGAAATTAAGATGCGTCTGACGTAACGGACTCGTTTCAGGTCCATTTTATCGCCCACGGTTCGAGGTACGAGGGTCGTTTAAGGCAGGATCCCGTTCGAGCTGCTCTCGAATCCTCGTGAATTGGGCTTGGAAATTCATCTCCTGACTTCGAGTTCTTTCTATCAAGGTCTGGAAAGTCGTTTCCTGATTTCGAGTTCTTTCCATCAGGGTTTGGAAACTCATTTCCTGGTTTCGAGATCTTTCGACCAGGAGTTCCAATGTTCTTTGCAGTTCGGCTGTACGATATGGGAAAGATCCTTGACCAACAGCCGCTTGGGTTCGTTGAGCCCAATTCGAGTGAATCGGTCCTGGAGGCCGTATCTCGGGACGAATCCAGATGTACCGGTTTCCTCCGACCGGAGTTCCAGTGTTCGGGTTCGTGGAGTCCACGCCCGGACAAGCTGTGGGTGCAGCGGTTCCGAGGTTGCCCAGATCTGAAGCGGATCAGGAGCGTTGCAACCTTACCGGAGCTGGTCTGCTTGAAGCGGATCGATTCGGTTATGTCTGGCTGGAAGGGTTAGACCCTTTACCGTTGATAGGAGTAGCGTTTTGGCTGGACGGATCCATTTGCGTTCTAACGAGCCTTAGATCTGGCTATATTGTTAGAGAAATCTTTTTTCTTCCCCATAGTCGGCGCCAAAATGTTAGACGTAAAACTCACACTTAGAAATTTGATAATAGTTTAGGGATGAGGAAGAAGTGGGTAAGATTCTCACAAGCACTCAAGAACTTAGACTCAAGAATAAGCAAAGATGGACTTTATATTGATCAAACAAAGATTAAGGTTACAAGGTATTTCTGGGAATACAAGAGCTCGAGGAGCGTACAATGATAGATTTTGGTTAACAAGTGTTGAAATGAGTCAAAGATGATGAATGATGATGAGAAGAAGATCCCCTTTCTGCTTGGACATCTTCTCCTTTTATAGTTCTCCTGCGAGTGCTTGTATCTCGCCTGCTTCCATAATCTTCGGGATCTCCTGCTGCACGTGCTCCGGATTTAGTGGAATCTCCACCGAGCAACTAACTCCGGATTTCTCGGGACTACGCCGAACGACCTTGACTGTCCTGAACGATACCTCTTACGTACGGTAGCTCGATATCTCGATAGCTCGTAACTCGAGGTCTCGCCAGCTCGATGAAGATTGGAATGGACCTTTAAACTGGTGAGCCCAGGTAAACAGACTTTATAGAATCGTTTAATGGATCTTAAGCAGGAAGAGATTTAGGTGCTAAATCTGAGTCCAACAGTAATGTTCTTTCTACTTGTATTATGAATCAGATAATATATATTGCCAATGAAATAAGTTATAACGAATTCAAAATAGTAATTGTACTTGAGGAAACACTAGGATCAAAGGTTCTAAGTGTCTAACATGGTCGTGATGTTCTCTTTTCTCAAATCCAATAGCTTAACATCTTTATCAAAATCTCTGTGCCTCACAGACGAGACTGATCATAACTAGTCGAATGAAAAAAATCAGACTATGATCCAACCAACCTTCTTAGGAGAACTCAATACACATGCATATCGTGTAAGGTGAAACGAGCTGCTGATTGGTGTGCCGTCTTCTTTATCAGAGTGAAGCGAGAAATAAGTATCACCTTCTTCCTCAGCATAGCCCTTAATTTCTCAAGTTACTGTATCTAAAGCGACCAGCGAATTCACACAAATTGCAAACAGATTTGCAGAAATTAGGCTATACAAAACCCACAAACCGAAGAATCGTACTGGATTATCGTGCCAAGTCATCTTACCAATTACTTATGAAATGAGCTCTTAAATCAGGTAACAGTGACACAAACCTGTGAGAGATTAGACTGTTTAGTCTGTTGATCATCTTCTTCTCTTACGGTCTGAGAGATTACTGGACTAGCAGCTCCGATAGTTGAAAAAAATGTGTTACTCTCTCTCTTTACAATCTTCAATTGACACCCGGAAAATCCATGAAGATCGAGCAATCTTGACTTCGAACTTAGCTACAACGGGATTTCCGTCGTTGCCGGAGCGAGATCGTCGGGGAAAGTTGTTCCTCTGCCCTGGAAGAGGTTAGAGGTGTTGACTCGCTACGCGTAGGCTTACATGGTACCGCTAATCGATCTAGAGTTTCTTGCAGTGATGCTTGCTGTATGCCGGAATAGCGACACTATGCCGAAGAGACGGCGGCGATAGTACCAACTGATTTTTCCGAGTAATGAAACAGAGAGATGGAAAGAGAAGTCGCAAGACCGAAGAAGAATATGGACTGGAGTGATCAAGGAACGAAAGAAACAAGGTTTTGTGCAAAACAACTCTCAAACTAAATTATTTTTGCAAATTAAACCCTCAATTAAAAACTGTGCAAATCAATCCTATAAAGTCAAAAGTCACATGCAAGACCACAATAGGAATAGTGACAAAATTTAAAAGAGTTTTGTGCAAAAAAAAACTGCTAATTAAATTCGTTTGCAAATTTAACCACCCAATTTAAAAAATATGCAAATCAAACCTCGAAATCATAAATCACCATTGAAACGGATCTATGTGTATTTGTCATTAACTATAAATATCGATTCAAAACATCATGCTATTTACAACATTTTAACTAACTATTTTTTATCAAAATTAACTTTGAAAAACAAAAACAAAAATCTTTAATCTCTCTTTTTGTACTCCTCCACCATTATGAGCTTTTCTCGAGTAATCTTGTATTCCCTCCATTTCATATTAGTTGTAATTTTGAGAAAAAAGTGTCTGCAATATATTTAGATGTATTAAGCTTAAAACACATCCAGATACATCCAAATATATTGCGGATACATTTTTTTCAAAACAACAACTAATATGAAATGGAAGGAGTATGAGTAAACTGATTTTCTTTCTCATGGTATCACTAAGTTTCAAAATCAAGTTTAGATTTTGTTGTTTCGTTTTATGTTGATCTTTTGGTGTATGGAGAAAAGAATTGCTATGATTCTTATGCTTATTTAGATATTAGATTATCTAACTATCATTGTCTATAAGTAGGAGTTTAGATATTAGATTATCTAAATAAGCATTAAAGTCAAAATCACACAGGTTTACATAGGTCCGTTTTGATAAAAATAGTTAGTTAAAATGTTGCAAATGGCATGATAGTTTGAATCGATGTTTATAGCTAATGACAAATACACATAGGTCTGTTTCAGTAGTGATTTTTAGGTTTGATTTGCAAAAAAATTAAGTTGGAGGGTTAAATTTGCAAAAATAATTTAGTTCGTGGGTTTTTTTTGCATAAAACTCTTTTAAATTTCGTCACAAATATACAGATGTTCTATATTGCACGTGACTTTTGACTTTATAGAATTGACTTGCATGATTTTTAGTTGAGAGTTTGATTTGGAAAAAGAATTTGGTTTGAAGGTTATTTTGTACAAAACCCAAAAAACAAAGAGAAAAATGGAAAATGATTTCCCAAAACAAATTCTCACCTATTACAAAAGCACACATGTGTCCTACTCCTACACTGTCATAGAAACGGCTCTTTTTGTTCTTCATAAAGAAACGATTCCACCCATTATCAATGCCACATCATTATTTTTTTTTCATTTTTTCTAGCTAAGAAAGCTAATGTAGATGCTTTTAAGATTCGATTAGCGTACTGTCCGATAGTAATTTTTAGGGCTCATTTGGACCTAAAATAACTAGGCCGACTAATGGGCCCATAATAGCGTAATTCAGCCTAAATAAAAGGGTTTTGTGTAAAAAAATATTTGAACTATTTTTTTTTTTTAAATCAAATCCTCAGTTTAAGACTATGCAAAATAAATTCTTAAGTCAAAACAACACCGCAATATAGAACCTTTATATATTTGTTACAAACTGAAAAGATTTTGTGCAAAAAAACCCAAAAAGTAAATTATTTTTTGCAAATTCAACCTCCAACTTGAAAAATATGCAAGCCCACCGTTAAAACCATGTGCTGATGTGCATTTCGGGTGGGACGGGTATTGGCGAGAATAGGACATTTGAGAATCAAATGGTATTACCTAATGTATTCCCTTATGATAATGGGACAGAAAATGACGGAACAAAAAGTTTGTGACTAAAAGTAAAAATTATACACCCAAAGTCTTACTAAATCAGAAAACTGAAAAGATTACGGAAAAAAATATAAATAATACGGGAAATTTCGGAAAAATGCAAGAAATATTCAGAAAAAATTAAGAAAAATATTAATAATTTTTGTCTTTTTAATTTTTAAACGAGTAATACAGGTATCCGTTTCTTTCCCATACTCCCCCTCTCTTACCTGTTAAAATAGAAAAATGTTCCCAACTGATAACTATAAACGTCGACTTAAAACATTATGTCATTATAATATTTTAACAATTATTATTTAAATGGTATGATATTTTAAGTTAGCGTATATAGTTAACAACAGATACACATAAGCCTATACATTTCGGAAAGGGAATCACATTCCCTCTTGTATCCGTCTCAAATTTTCTGGATTTTTTGGGAACAAGAAGTAGCAATTTTCTATTTAGGAATATTTCTTTTATTTTAACGGGTAATGAAGGGGTATGAGATGGGTATGGGAAAGAAATGAGTACCCGGATTACCGAATATTTCTTGCATTTTTTCAAAATTTCCCGTATTTTTCATATTTTCTGAAATCTTTTTAATTTTCCGATTTATTAAAACTTTGGATGTATAATTTATTTATAGTCACAAACTTCCCATTTCCGCCATTTCCTGTCCTGTTATTATAAGGGAATATATTGGGTAGTATAATTTGATTCCCGAATATCCTGTTCCTATCAACATCTGTCCCAAGATCTGAAATGCATATAGTTTTAAAGGTGACTTTTGATTTTACAGGTTGGACTTGCATATTTTTTAGATTGGAGGTTAAATTTGCAAAAAAATAAAATTAATTTGTGGGTGTTTTTTGCATAAATCATTTTCAGTTTGTAACAAATATAGAAAGCTCCTATATTGCGGAGTTGTTTTTCATGGTTTATTTTGCACAGTTTTAAACGGAAGGTTTGATTTGCAAAAGAATTTAGTTTGAGGATTTTTTGTACAAAGCCCCAATCAACACACTAACATCCCTTGTGTTGCTCCAGGAATTGACCCCTATGATTTTTTAAGTTTTCCTGTATTGACACCTCGATTAAAACCTCTAATCAATGAAAACATTCTAATTAATCTCAGCAACTTTTTTGTTTACTTTATTTGTTTTTAATCTGATTTGGTTTATTCAGTTCGGTTATCTCGCATTTTCCCTATTCCTTCTTCCTCGACTCGGTTTTTCTCTTCTTACTCCATTCCAATTCGCCAAAATAAATCTAGATTTTTCATTCTTCTTCCTCGACTCGCTTCTTCTTCTTTCTTCGATTAACATTCGCCGTAACAATCGATGCTTTTCAGACTCTCAGTCTCCTCTATGAGCGATCTGAAATCCTCCATTCGAAAGAGATCCACAGCGGAACCACCGTGAAATCTTCCGGCGTGGATCTGAAATCATCTATGAGCGGTCCCATGAAACAGAGAGCGGCGGCGTTAAAGAGGCTAAAGAAAGCTTAGGAGAATCCGAGCTCCGTCGCGACTGAGGGAAGCCAGTGAGAAGGGTAGTCGTATATGATCCAATCCGGAGATGAGCTTCGGAGAAACTCTGTTAATGGTAACCGAAGAAGATCGAAGGCGGATTTGAGAGATTGTTGGTTGTTGTAAGACACGTTCAAGGAGGATTCAGAGGAAGGAGGTAAGTTGGGGAAAGGAAAGAGAGGGAGAGAGACGAAGGTTATGGAGAAAGAGAGGTTTGGTGGTAATTTGGGAAGTCTGTCAATGTTTCTTGGTGTTGAAATGAAGGAGATTTTGTGACCTTTTTGTGCAAGTAACTTTGAGAAATGAAGAAAAGGAAGAAGATGACCCATAGCTAGCGATGGGGGGAGATCTCTGTATCCGCAAGCTATGAAGGAGTTTCACTATATGCTCTGGAGAATGCTGAGAAAAATGGTTCTTAAAGGTTAAACCTTTAATGGCTTTTTAAGTTAGATTTTGCGTATATAGATTTTTCTTTGTAGGGTTTGGGAAATGCATTTTGTGGCACAATGTACTTATTCTGTTATTCATAGCTTATTTTCTTTAGCAAATGGCTTTGATGTACTAATTACGCTATAAACTTTCAATTTTGTGATGTAATTTTGTATCAAATGTATATTGAAACATGATTCTTTGTTTCACTGTGGAATGATGTAGAAAACCTTGCATATTGTGATTTTATCGGTTATGGATCTGATGAGAAGTCAGAGGAAGAAGCTTCTAGGGAAGTTTTTGATACTCTTGATAAGGTTGGAACTCAAGAAGATGCTAGAACATGCCAAGGAAGCAAATGACATGGTAGAGTGCTAATACGGTAGTTGTTGCCAAGGAAAAGGAAAATATTGTTTGTTAAAGAAAAGATTGTTGAAAGATTTGAAGTAACAGTTTTATAAAAAAAAATAAGATTTGAAGAAACAGTCGAACTCTCCATATGAGTGTTTAATAATTATGAAAAGGATCACATGTTGAAGGCAAATAGCAAGAAAAGAAAAATTGTAAAACATGAATTTATTATAGCCTGGAGAGATTTCCCAATGGCAACAATCATAATGTTTATCAAATGAGACACAATGATTTCTTAGATGTTTTGAATAGAGCTATTAGCTAAAGTTAAGAAATTAGAAAGATGACATCAACTACTGAGATATAAAACTCATTATAATTGAGATAACTAGGGTAAACAACCAAAGATTGAAAGATAGGAAATAACAATATATTTGAAGATATATATACATTAGAACTCGAGAAAGGAAACATAATGTTTATTTAAAAAAATGTATTTTTAAATTATATGACACTAAAACAAGAAAAAATATATATATAATTTTGAGGCATAAAGGTTATTTTATGTTTTTTTTTTCAAATCGAAATTAAAAATAATGACTTGTAAACATAAAATAATCGATATTATTATAAAAGGGATTATATTTAGTTTCTCTTTAGGTATCCTTCTGTCAGTTTTAATTATGATCCGTATAAATAATGTCCAAATTTAAATTAAAGTAGTTATAGAAAAAAAAAATATCAAGCAGCAGTATTCAATTTACGGTCGGGTATCACATCGGTTGGGTATCAAAAACTATTACCCAAAAATTATTTATAAAGTAAAAGTTGGATATTAGCAGGTAGGATTAGGGTACAGACAAGATCATGTAGTTATAATTCCAAATGTTATTTTATAATTAAAAAACAGTCAAATGAATGTAAAGATTGGTCGGGTATCAAAAACTATTACAAAATTTATTCGTAAAGTAAAAGTTATTAAGAAAAACGTGCATAATGTTATGGAATAGAGAGATTAAGAGATGAGAGGAATTCGTGATATCTTATTCCAATAGAAAGGGACCTTTATATAGGTGTACAACATTAGGGTTTTCCTTATAGGAAGTACCCTTGGTGGACAAGTAGGAATATTCTAGAAGATGGGCTGATAATGGGCATCCACATAAAGCCTTTTCATAACACTTCCCCTTGGATGTCCATTATAAGTAATGTGCGATAATGCTACCTCATTAAAAACCTTACTAGGAAAACCCAATGGGAAAAACCATAGTTAAGGGAAAAAGAGTGTAGCGCACAATTACTTCCCCTCATGTGGACATCCGTTGAGATCTTGAGACGACGCAGTCCAATCATATGAGTTAGCTTCTTGAAAGTAGATGTTGGAAGCGCCTTAGTAAACAAGTCCGCCAAATTCTCGCTTGAACGAATCTGGTGTACACTTACATCGCCATTCTTCTGTAACTCATGGGTGAAGAAAAACTTCGGTAGGATGTGCTTCGTTCTGTCTCCTTTAATGTACCCATCCTTGAGTTGTGCGATGCAAGCAGCATTATCTTCATACATAACCGTTGGAGCTCCTTTTCCTGTCTGTACACCACAATCTTCTCGAATGTGTTGACTACAGACCTCAACCAAATGCACTCACGACTAGCTTCGTGGATGGCTAATATCTCTGCATGGTTAGAAGAAGTAGCTGCAAGAGTTTGCTTCATAGAACGCCAAGAAATAGCAGTACCTCCACAAGTGAACACATATCCAGTTTGTGAACGGGCAGTATGTGGATCAGACAAGTATCCTGCATCTGCAAAACCAATCAAGTCTTCCTTGCATGTATTAGAAAAGAATAAACCCATATCTTTCGTGCCTTGCAGATAACGAAGTATATGTTTAACCCATTCCAATGTCTTCTGGTTGGACATGAGCTAAACCTTGCCAATAGGTTCACTGCAAATGATATATCAGGTGTGTATGACTAGCAAGATACATCAATGCTCCTATGGCACTAAGTATGGTACTTCAGGACCAATAACTTCTTCATCGTTTTTCCGAGGGCGAAAAGGGTCCTTTAATACATCAAGTGACCTCACAATCATTGGACTACTCAAAGGATGAGACTGATCCATGAAAAACCTTTTGAGAATTTTCTCAGTGTACGCCATCTGGTGCAGTAGAATTCCATCCACAAGATGCTCAATCTGCAATCCCAAGCAGAATTTCGTCTTTCCGAGATCTTTCATCTCAAATTCTTTCTTCAAGTATTCTACTGTATATGAAATCTCTTCAGGAGTTCCAATAATATTCAAATCATCAACGTACACCGCAATGATGACAAATCCTTTACCGAATTTCCTTATGAATATGCATGGACTGATAAGATCATTCTTATAGCCTTCCTTCAGCAAGTACTCACTAAGACGGTTATACCACATACGTCCTGATTGTTTCAATCCATAAAGAGAACGTTTTAACTTTATGGAGAAATCTTCTCTAGAATTTGATTTCTCTGCTTCAGGCAGTTCAAATCCTTCTGGACTTTCATATAGATCTCATTATCCAATGGACCATATAAGTAGGCTGTGACTACATCCATCAGCCGAAAATCAAGTCCTTCTCTTATAGCAAGAGTAATGAGATACCTGGAAAGTAGTTGCATCCACTACAGGAGAGTATGTCTCTTCATAATCAATTCCGGGTATTTGTGAGAAACCCTGTGCAACTAAACGTGCCTTGTGTCTCACAATTTCACCATTCTCATTCCTCTTTCGCACAAAAATCCATTTGTGCCCTACTGGTTTAACACCTTCAGGTGTACGGACTACTGGTCCGAATACTTCTCTTTTACCAAGAGAGTTGAATTCCGCATCTATTGCCTCATTCCATTTTGGCCAATCAATTCTTTGCATGCACTCTGCAATAGATGTCGGTTCATGATCCTCATCCATGATATCGATTGCTACATTGTATGCAAATATTTCATCGACGTCGATTTCCTTTCGGTTCCACTTTATTCCAGACATGACATAATTTATTGAGATCTCTTCATTCTCAGGTACCTGAATTTCAGTCATGTGTAAAGTCTCTTCTGGAGATCTTTCATTCGTGGTTACCTCGGTTTCACTATTGCCAATTTCTGCTCCTTTTCTTTTCCGAGGGTTTTATCTTTGGAACCAATAGGTCTACCACGCTTCTGGCGTGTCTTAGACTCTGTAGCAATCTGATTATGCCCTTCTGGGACATTCAATCTAATTGGAGCATTCTCAGCTGGTATATGTGACCTTGTCACTTTTTGGGTCAGCAAATGCCTCTGGCAACTGATTTGCTAAACCCTGCAAATGAATTATCTTCTGGACTTCTAATTCACACTCTTTAGTCCGAGGATCAAGATAAGATAATGATAATTCATTCCAGCTAATCTCTTTTCCCAGCTGTTTAGTTTCTTCCCCTAATGTTGGAAAGACTGATTCATTAAAATGACAGTCTGCGTATCTAGCCTTAAACAAATCCCCAGTGGATGGCTCTAGATACTTATGATTGATGCAGAATCATATCCAACATATATTCCCAATCTCCTTGAGGTCCCATCTTAGATCGCTGTGGTGGAGCAATCGGGACGTACACCGTACACCCAAAAACCTTTAGGTGGGAGATATTTGGTTCTTTGCCAAGAACCAACTGTAATGGGGAGAACTTATGATTACTTGTTGGCCTGATGCGAATCAGTGTTGCTGCATGCAAAATAGCATGTCCCCAAGCAGACACAGGAAGTTGGGATCTCATAAGTAGTGGTCTAGCAATCATCTGAAGCGTTTTATAAACGACTCAGCTAAACCATTTGTGTATGAACATGAGCTACTGGATGTTCAACACTTATCCCAATCGACATGCAATAATCATTAAAAGTCTGAGACGTGAATTCACCAGCATTATCAAGCCGAATTGCCTTTAAGGGAAATCTGGAAAATGTGCTCGTAATCTTATCAACTGAGCAAGCAATCTGCAAACGCCAAGTTGCGAGTTGATAACAAGGATACATGTGACCATCTAGTAGATGCGTCAACTAGAACCATAAAGTATCTAAAGGTTCCACATGGTGGGTGAATCGGCCCACAAATATCTCCTTGTATCCTTTCCAGAAAATTGATCGATTCTGTATTTACTTTGGCTGGTGAAGGCCTTATGATCAGCTTGCCTTGTGCACAAGCAGCACATGTGAAATCATTAGGCAGAATCTTCTGGTTCTGTAATGAGTGTCCACATGAATTAATGATTATCTTTCGCATCATTCCTGTACCGGGATGGCCTAACCGGTCATGCCAAACATTGAAATTTTCATTACACTTCTGGTGTACGACCGACAACTTCTGGTGTCCGGTCAACAACTTCTGGTGTACGGCTATATTTGCCTCGATTGTATTTATATTCGTAAAGTACAATCCGGTGGAGAACGCAGGTAGCCTTTCTACAATGGCTTTAGAACCTTGGGTAATGCGTGTAATATGAAGGTATTCAACCTTTCCTTCACTCACAGTCTCAATGTGATATCCATTTCTGCGAATATCTTTGAAACTCAATAAGTTTCTATTCGACTTAGGTGAGTGTAATGCATCAGCAATATCAAATTGCGTGCCCATAGGCAATAATATGCACGCTCTTCCGGAGCCCTCAATTATATTTGCACTACCCATTACTGTGCTCACACTTACTTCTTTCATTTCCAAATGAGAGAAATATTTCTTAGTTTTCAAAATGGTGTGGCTAGTGGCACTGTCTGCCAAACATAAATCTCCACCATTCATTGCTCTTCTGGAGCCTTCAAATATATAAACAATTTATAAATAACTTGGTAATGTAAATAAATGAAATAAAATATCAATTCATAAACTCATAGAATCAAATGATAGAAACACCAAAAGCCAGAAACATCAAAAGCCAGAAATAATAAAGCAAACAATATCTTTAAGTAAAAGCATAAACTTAAATTCTCATATTCCCTTCAGGGGCGAGAATATCAGCAATCTCCATGTGAGTTGCTTCACCATCTTCGTACACCAAGTTTGTTTCCACATTCTTTCCCTTTTCCTTAACAGCTTGTTGATAAAGACCAACAAGGTGTTTTGGTGTACGGCACAAACGAGCCCAATGGTCATTTCCTCCACAGCGGTAACATGCATTCCCTTGTGTTACTTGTTTGTTACCACCTTTGTTTTCCTGATTTTGGTGAGAGCGTGCGTTCTTAAACGAACCTCTTTGACGTACACCAAAATCTCTTCCACGTCCACGACCATAGCCACGACCCCGTCCACCACGACCTCGACCACGGATGTGGCCTTGTCCATCTGTGGTTTTGTTCTTTCCTATCATAGGATGTCGCATTCGCTTCAGGGAATGGAGCAGAACCAGTTGGGCGCAGACCATGATTTTTCATCAACAGCTCATTATTTTGCTCTGCCACAAGAAGGCAAGATATCAACTGGGAATACTTCTGGAATCCCTTTTCACGGTATTGTGTCTGCAGGACAACATTATTTGCATGAAATGTAGAGAATGTCTTCTCTAACATATCAGCATCCGTGACTTTCTCTCCACATAATTCCAACTTGGAGGTAATCTTGAACAATGCTGAGTTGTACTCACTTACAGACTTAAAGTCCTGGAGTCTCAGATGTGTCCAATCATAACGAGCTCTAGGTAAGATCACAGTTTTCTGGTGATCATACCTCTCTTTCAAACTAGTCCAAAGGACTTGTGGATCTTTCACATTCAGGTACTCACTCTTGAGACCTTCGTGGAGGTGATGGCGAAGGAATATCATTGCTTTTGCCTTATCCTTAGATTCAGCCTTATTCCCTTCCTTGATTGTTTCACCAAGCTCTTTTGCACTGAGGTGGATTTCGGCATCTAGTGCCCACGCGAGATAATTATCCCCGGAGATATCCAACGCCTCAAACTCTAAACTTGTTAGGTTTGGCATGATTACTGAAAGTAATAAGAAACAATCGTTATGTCTTCAGGACATATAAATAATCATCATGTCTTCAGGACAGAGATATAAGTGTACAAGCATGTCTGCAGGACAAGTGTACAAGCATGTCTGACTGTGACTAAAGGATAACAGTGTATAAACAGATCAAGTAGATATGATGTATATAACTCAGTGCATAAACAGATCTAACAGACGGAATATATAATTCAGTGTATAAACAGATCTAACTCAGTATTGATCAGTATTCAGTTTCATGTTTATGCATCATTGAGATAAATCAGTATTCAGTTTGAATGACATGCACGTGATCAAGACAAAATGATCAGAATTCGAGTTTTAGTTATATATATGCATAAACCCTAATCACCATGTTGAATCAAGTGTTTTATCGCATGTACATCAAAGCATTGATATCTCATCGCGCTGTACACCGAAACATCGATTATTGAATCGTGTAGTACACTTAAACATATATGTGACTCACTGGGTTGAACAATGGTGTGATTAAATATAACATGATACAGGTTTCGATAAACCATAGAAAATAACAATCAACAGTGCTTAACGCAATAAGATATAGCATAAATCAAAGCATATATCAAAGTATGAATCATCGACAAATCACATATATGACACGGCATAACAAGATGCTAGTTCGATAACTTGGATCGTTAATCAATATATGTGATTAGGATTGATATTCCAGAACCATGAATCGATAGTTAGACATGGTTCTTCATATTGAAGAGCAATAGATCTGAAATCTAAAATAACTACCTTTTAGCTCTGACGGCTAGGGTTTTAAACCTAGAGAGTAGAGACTCGTGCTGATAACGTGTTATGGAATAGAGAGATTAAGAGATGAGAGGAATTCGTGATATCTTATCCCAATAGAAAGAGGACCTTTATATAGGTGTACAACATTAGGGTTTTCCTTATAGGAAGTACCTTGGTGGACAAGTAGGAATATTCTAGAAGATGGGCCTGATAATGGGCATCCACATAAAGCCGTTTCATAACACATAACATGTATTCTAAGATATTTGATTAACCTTATTTTAACTTACTAGGTGTTTTACCCGCGCACGCGCGGGTTCCGTTTTAATATTTGTAAATAAATCTTATGTCCTCTTTATTTTAATTTTATTCAATAATATTAAGAAAATGTATGATTCAATTAAGAATATTTGTATATCAAGTTCGAGTCATCAATTTTTTTTGTTTCTTTGATAAGAGATGAAAATAATAGTTTCATTTATTAAAAAAAGATTTTTAAAATGCTTCACTATTTTTCAATTTTTGTTTATAATTTTTTTTAATAAACTTTTTTTTGTAATATACTTTTAATTTTTTTTACCTAACCAATTTAATTATTTTTATAAGTAGTCATAATAAGTAAGATACCTTTTAAAAATATTTTTTGTCATAAAAACATACAACAGCCCAATCCTCAAATTTCTTAAACTAATCCCTTAATTTTACAAGACAATTTTTTTTATATCCAATAAAGGTTATCTGGCAAACTTATCCAATATTAGTCTAATACATATTTTAGTTCTTAATTTATTTTTTAATTTTATTTATTTGTTTAGCTTTTCCAGCTATGAATTTATGATTTATACTTAATTTTTTTTGTAATTTTAATTATGTTGCATTTAATTCCATCAATAAATTCATCTCTTTATTTTTAAATCACTGTTTTTGTATTTAAAAGTCTTATATCTAGAAAATAAAATAAAATATAAATGTATTTTACAGATCATTAAGGACGGGAAGAAAGGAATCAGAAAGATCAGGAGTAAAAAATAATTTTTTTTTAATTGTTTCATATGATATAATCGTGTTAAATGTATTCCCACTTTTTCCATATCATATGGCTTCTTCTTCTTCCCGTGGTCATCATCTTTTAATTGTTTTTCCAATTCCCGGTTAAATTCTTTTGGTTTGTTACGGTTCGATTTTCCTATCTCATAGAAATTAGAAATGCTTCATTTCTTTTTCTTTCATTTACCGACCACAATCGAACAATATTTCTTCTTCCTTATTCCCACCGGAACCATCTCATCATTTAGATCCCTCTTCTTTGTTGCTAATCTTGTTATTACCAGGGGAGAGCTCACGCTTCTTCTTCTTTTCGATCTCCTTCGACTCTCGCTCTGAATTTCTCAATTAACTTAGGTACCAATCTCGAATTTCCCCTTTATCGCCGATTGATGGTTTGATTTTTTGGTCAAATGATTTTCGATAACGTCACCGAGTTAAATTTTGGGTTTTCTCGGTGTTTGCTAGTTTTGTTGATGTTTAATCAGTCTATGTTTGTTTCGGTTCGGTTTAGCTATCAATTTGATATTTGAAATATCTCGTTGGTTTTGTTTTCTGTTCATATGGAGCACAACTTTTCTTCAATGGCTTTAGTCAATGACTTCGTTTTAAAGTCAACGACTTCGTTTTAAAGTCATCAAAATCACTGTTCTTGGCATCTCATCATCCCCTTCCCTGAGTTTCGATGCTTCTTTCTTCTCCTGATTCTCAGCTAATGGCTTCGATGAAGGTTATGATTTTCCGTATTTTCAATCTTTTTTTGCTGATGTCCAAATGGTGTATTTTGTTTGTAATCTAATTGTCCGGATGCGAATTGGTGATAAATGTATAACTCTAGGTGGTGGCAATTGCTTTGGCAAGTTCCTGAGACTTATAGCTGTCGAGTTTTAGAGCGTTTTCTCCTTTCACTGGTCGTTTTTAATAATATTTGAAATCTCTTCTCATTGACTTTACCCCTTTTTGTTTGGTTTTCTTGTTTTTACAGAGATCAAACGTCCTTAGCCTTCAGGTTCAATTTTTTTCTTTAAAATCCTTTGATTAAGTACCTTCTGATCCATGAGAAGGAGTTCTACACCCATGAGTAATCCGCCTTTTTTAACGTTTCGTGCCTCCCAAAAGTGGATGACTCTGACAAGCAAATCATTATTTTGAAACCTTTTTTTAGATCATCGAAAACCAAAGTATGGCTTAACTGATTAGAAACAGAAGAGCATGAATTTGCCATGGCTTATAAAAATCGATTGAGAGATGTGAATGTATATTATGAACTTGGTTTCATGTGGCAATAAGACCACGTATATATAGGATTTAAGATCATCTTATTCCTAATGGAAAAAGGAATCAATGTATATCAATGTCATTGTACAATAAGGAAATTAGAGAAGTGATAATTACAAAAATAGGAACTATCCAAATCCTAATCTTTATCAAACAATATCCAATTTGTTTTTCAAGAATCTTCTAGACTAAAACGAAATAATGAAACCAAGAAATAAATTTGGAAGAAGAAATAAGAAAAAAATGCCAAGAAGCAATCTTATATTCGCCAGAAATTAAAGCAGCCGAATTGTACAGTCAAATCACAAGACTTATCTTAGTAATAGATTCCGAATTTCTCCATTTTTGGTTTAATACTCCCTCAACTGAAGTTGTACTGAAGCTTCAAACTTGCAACAATGCGAAATAGGGAGTTTAGGGCAAAATAAATCCAATTCGATTTACGAAATCTGTGAAATGAAGAATGAATTTTTGTTGTTTGACGGTGGAGAGAGAGAGAGAGTTTTGTGAGATGCAGTTTTAGGGTTTGTAGAAAAAAGGGGAAGAAGATGTAGCAGATCCCGTTTTGGAGATGCCGATGTCTGATTTTTTTTTTTTTTGTGGTAACCTAATGGCAATGTCCATATAATTATTTTTGAAACGGTTTAAAAAAAAACAGGGGACTGCAAAGGATCGAACTCAATACCTGTTGAGTTTAGGACAATTGTGATAACCGCTACACCATAGCATCTTTTTGGCTGAATAGGAAATTTATTTCTATAATTACTTACAACATGTGTAAATTTTCCACTAAAAAGAAACTAATACTAATAATATATGTAAATTTAGATAATCTATGAATATGAAACTTATAATTCAGTTCTCGAAAATTGTAAAATCAGAGAAATTATCTTTACTGAAAATTAATTAATAAATAATATGTAAAATAGAAAATTTACATAAATTAATTTAAAAGCAAAAAAAAAAATAATAATGACATGGACCAATCAAATTCAACCTTTTAAATCCTAGGTGGACAGCCTCTAATGCATATAGGCTCAACTTAAAATAGAAAATTTACATAAATTAATTTAAAAGCAAAAAAATTAAAAATAATGACATGGACCAATCAAATTCAACCTTTTAAATCCTAGGTGGACAGCCTCTAATGCATATAGGCTCAACTTTTATTAGTAATAGACTAGGACTTTTACCCGCGCACGCGCGGGTCTGTATCTTAAATCAGTTTAAAATATATTTAATTTTTTTTTTAAACTGCAAAAATCAACAATTAAAATTTATCAATATTTCAATACCAAAACTCTCTGGAAAACAAAAGTTTTTAGATATATCAATATCGTATTGAGATCAAATCTTGACATACAAAAATATTGTTTAGATCATATCCCGGTAACAAAAATGTTTGTGTATGTCTAATGACCAAAACTTACTTGAAGATATTCAAATCATTATAATAGGACAAACTTACTTTATCACTAAACTTATTTGTAAAATGTAATGTTAATTTATGAACTATTGTGACGTGTTAGTCATTTTCTAAACAGAAATATATTTTTAAATATATTTAGTGAAATTCTTAAAATTAGATGTCAATAATATTTGTATATAACATGATGTTTATTTAAAATAACTTCAGTTGGTTATGTTAGAACTTAAAATGCTATAAATAACAATATTTGTATGTAATAAATTTAAGCTAGATGATAAACTAATATTTTGGTAAGTTTTCAATGGTTATAAAACCTAAAACCTAAATGAAGAGAAGCTAGTCGACACACATAATTGTTCTTCATTTTCTTCTTCGTTGTTGTTTTAAAGTTTTTTTTTAATTTTCTTTGATTCATTCTTTTTCAGTATCTTATGTTTTGTTTTCTTCTTTGTCTTTGGTCTTATTTGATTTCTTCTTCATTTTCACTCATCTTCGCGTTTGCTCTTCTTCGTCTTTGCTCTCTTTTTTTTTCTTCTTTTTTTTTGTTTTGTTTTGATTTGGTTTCTTCTCCTTTGTTCTTATTTTATTTCCTCTTTAGATTGGTCTTCGCAAGTTTTTTTGTTGTTGTTAGGTTTCTTCTCCTTCGTTCTTGTTCGAATTCCTCTTCAAATTGTTCTTCACAAGTTTTTAATATGGTTTTTCCTTATTCATCTTTGTCTTCTTTTGTCTCTATTTTGTATTCGCAATTCAATATCTTTGTTTTCGCTATTCTTCGGTTTTATCTTGGTACTCTTCTTTTTTGTGTCTACTTTTTTCTTCATTTTGTTTTCTCTTATTTCTGTAGGTTATTCTCGACCCTTAAAATTCTGCATGGTTCCATTCCTCTTGTAAAATTCTGCATGGCTCTATTCCTCTTAAATTTAGAATAAATTATAATTAAATAAAACACAATTTCGTTACCTGAAAAACTGAAAATAAAATCAAGCTAGAATGACTTATTGAACAAAATATATTCAAAACAGGCCCTTTGAATGTCATATGTAAATACTAAAATGAGAAGGAATTTATCTTATTCTGTTTTTCATAAATTTACTTTTGTTTATATTCCTTCTCTTTCAAGTGACATCTTTTAAAAGTACTACTTATAAACACATGAATATGTAAATATTACAAAACATTGAAAAACGAAGAAAAGAAAAATAGAAAAGGAACAAAATACAGCCTTCTATTGTGTTTGCCTTTTCCTTTCAATTTGTGTCATGTAATCACTATTCTGATTTTTTTTGTTTCTTCATAATCAATATTATTTTCCCCATCGAAAGCTTACTAATTTAGGAGCAACAATTCACTTTTGATTTAATCTACACTTTGGTAATTTCGATTCCTTGTTCTCTTCATAGTCCTTTGATTTTTTGTGGTAATGTAACTTATTTATTAATTAATTGGATGTGCTTCCATTATCAAAATACAAAGAAAATCAATTGAACACCATAGACCAGATAATATTCGAAATAAAGCAAGCGAATTTATTTATTTCACAGAAGGACATGTATACCTTCAGTGTGATGCCCATTGTCTTCGTTTCAATCATTCCTTTGCTTCATGATTTTTCATTAATTCACTACATATCCTTTAGAAGAATTGATCGATCTATGTGAACTTTCAATATGTGATGTCAAAGTATCTTGTCTTCAATATATATCCCTCCATCTTGCTTCCAGGTGGTTTCTCGATGTTGGATTTGTTTGATCTTATATCAAGCTCTGACGTGAACATATGTTTATTCATGTAAGCTACATTTGATCAAAATCGAGTTAATACAATTGTAGCTTTAGATGTTGATATATAATGATATTGTTGGTATAATTTTCTTATTTATTACATATCTCTACTAATATTACACTTATAAATTCTGGAAACTTTCCTATTGCTTAACTTTGAATTATGAAACTTTCTTAAAATATAAAAATATAAAAAGGAATTTAACTAATTGAACAAATAGCTAATTTTATGTGATGATGTGGATTGATACTATTGGTTGTTTAAAATTCGGAAACTTTCTTAATCTAGGAAATACTTATGTGGACCAATCAAATCGCGTTTTATAATCCTATGTGGACGCTCTCAGAGGCTTATAGCCTCAACTTTTATATAGTATAGATTTAATTTGACAATAATCTTTAAATAATTTAAAGACTATAGACCAATAAGAGCAAAAAATGGCCCATTTGCAATTTGGACTTTGTTTATAAAAAATGGTGCATTTCACTAAAACCAATAGACTATTTTATTTACCTAAATAGAATTTTAATTATGGAAACAAATATTCATTGAAGAAAAAACATTATAAAACAGTTTCCGGCGGCATAGCGCGGGTCAATTTCTAGTTAAAAGTTAAAACCATTAAATCCATCGCGAAGAGAGACGTGTCAAATCACTCACTCACGTTAACACTTTTCACTCCACTCCAAAACAGCAAAAACATCGTCGTTTTGAGGGGATGAGTCAGGAAATGCCAAACTCCTCCACCGGCAGCTCCGGCGTAATCAACTTTCCACCTATCCGTATGTCTTCTTCTTTTCTTCCACATTCATTTTTAATAAAAATCGAATCTTTTTTTTTAATATCTCTCTATGAAGTATTAAGTAAGTCATCTCTGATATTGGTCTAGCAGCGACGAACCAATTCCAGAGAAACGGTAGTGAGGCGGTGTACAAAGTTTCGGAGACGAAGAGCGCGTGCGTGGTGGTGCGACTGGACATGCCAGGCTGTCCAGATTCAGACCTCGTCTACTGGATCGAAGGCATTAACGTCCACTACGACCACGATGGACGCAGATACGGAGGCACCATGGTTTTCAACCCAGAGACTTAATTATGACGTCAAGGACGCAGAGGTTAAGCTTCTCAATGGAGTGCTCTGGATCAGCGTCCCGAAGATCCCAGGCAAAAACGCCAATATTAATGTCATTGAGCAGACGATTTACATGTAAGATTAAAAAAGCCGACTTTATTTGAGTCGTACGTCTTCTTGTCTTTATCCGTTTCGTCTTTCTTGCCTCATAGTGTCTAGGACTCTAGGGTCTAGGGTCGACTTTGTTGCAGCTGGTTTATGTTGATCTTAATTGGTTTACTGAACTTAAAATTTATTGTATAACGTCTGATTGAGTAATTAGTGTCATCAAGACGTTTCCTTGAGCCTATAGCGAGGTAACTAATATAGTAGGGTACTGTTTCAGCAAAAGGGACAAACTTTGAATAGCATTAAAACAAACATCATATACGGTTTAAAAACTTTGAAACAGAGAAGTTGGTGCTAAAATTAAAAAAATGAGACTTTACACAATTACATTGTATGCAGTCACATTTTCCCAGTTTTACACTAAAGAGTAGCGCTGAGACGCTGACCTCAGCATCTGAGGTAACAATTCAAAAGTGAAGAAAGTTTTTTTGGCAGTTCAAATTTTTTTTTCTAAGTGAGGAAATTGCGAATGTGACATAAAGCGACGAAAGACCAGTCAAAAATTGTGATTTCTGTCGACGCTTAAAAGAGGAGCTGTGAGGTAAAGAAGAGAGATTTATGATTCGTTTGTAAAAGAAGCCAGCTGTAGTGCCCCGTCACATGACATTGTTAAAACTTAAAACCTCCTCCTGCCTCCTTTATATTAAGTCATCAACAACAAAATCAGAAGTCCAATTTACGCCAAAGAGAGAGACAGAGAGAGAAAGAGAATACAGAATACAGAATACAGAGAAAGAAGAGAGATGAGTGGGTTTAGATGCATCGACATTTCGACAATTCCTAGCGATAGAGGTCAGTTTCTTTCTACTCAGTCTCCCTTTATTTTGTTTTTTTTTCCCTCATTTTCCATGGAAATCGATTTCTTCTGATCTAAAGACACGTTTTCATTCTCCAAATCAATTATTTTTGCAAAAAGTTAGTTCCTTTCCTACAAAGTTGCATAAAAAAGGGGACCTTTTTCCCATAGAGATGGCTAAAAGATTTTAGTTAACAAGAACTCTGTACAAAGTTTTGCATTTTTGGAGATACTCTGGGAAAATAAAGTTTCAGTCTTGAAAAATAAGCTCGGTTAGCTCTTTAATGTTCTTTTGATAGTGTCTTCTTCGTTTCTCTGTATGTTTTTTTTTTTCTAGCGACTAATAAAGCATGAAACTTTCTATCACTGAAGTTCTTCTTACGTTTTTTCCATATCTGTTTTCTCCACTGTACTGAAACAGAGGGCTTCTACGCAACCAACAACCAGTTCCAGAAATCGGGTCCAAAGGGTTTCATCGAAGTGAAGGTTCTCGAGAACAACAATCTCTATGTGCGTGTGGACTTGCCCGGTGTTCCAGACGACGGCATCCACCACAGAGTCGACGCCGTGAGGCAAAAGGTTGTGTTTTTCTCGGGCGTAACTTTCAACGACGGCTACGAGAAGCAAGGCGTTCGCGAGTACTCTGGAACCGCCGGTCTGGGCTGTGACTGCTGCGAGATCACAGGAGTGGATGCCAAGATGAAAGATGGAGTCTTGAGGATGATTGTCTCAAGGGTCAAGGTCAAAGACCATGAGAACAAGTGTACTCTCACTGTGCCTCCTTTCACAGGTTCGAATCCATTCCTCTCACACAAAAAAAAAGATACCTTTAACTTGCAAATCCAGTATTGTGAAAGCTCTGTTTTTGCTGATAGGTAAATCTGGAAGGCGCGTGGAGGACCACCCGTTTGTGGTGAGAGGTCGGAAAGGAGCATTCGTTGGAGAATCAACAGCCGATGGAGGTCTTTTCTTCGCAGTGGATATGCCAGGTGTTAGTAATGGTGATGATGTCGAAATCCTTGCTAATGAGTTTGAAGTTAGATTCAAAGCCGAGATCAAGAATGTGGGTGAGCACGATGAGAGTGGCCGTATTTACTTGGGAACAGTCGACGCTTCTGATTCTTCCTCTTCGCCTGATCTTTTGAAGACCCACTCCATCACTGCTGTTGTAAACTTTGGTATCCTCAAGATCCTCCTTAAACCTCGTGTCAACACCAACACCAATAAGGAGTAATCAATCACTCTTCTCTACTGTGTTTTCATTTCACAGATCTATCTTTCTGTTACTCTTGTGTGCGTTTAAGTTGAGACAATTATGTGTGACTTCTGCGTTTGCGTTTGCTATGGAATTTAGTCGTTCGTTTTTACAATCTGAGCTTTTTTTCAATTAGCTGATTGAAAATTGAGTTAGACATCAAATTGGTGACGATTTCCCAAAACCTTAAGCTTATCTGCTCTAAATGAATCTTATAATTTCCGGATAATTAATTTGTATGTTGTGTGTCGCTTTTTCTACTTACTCTCTCGCACTATTGATCTTCAAGCCATTGTAATTAACCACATGTACGCTCGTAACAAGTAACAACATCCTTCATAGTTTCTTGATTTCTTCTATATCATCTAATCCATGTCATCAGAAACCATTTCTTTGAGCCAATAGCAAAAGTTTTTGAAGAAAGGTGCAAACTTTATAAATTTAACCAAAAAAAAAAAACAGATAAACATCCGAAAACGGTTTATGGGTTGCATTGTGATCACATGATTCACATCAATATTATTAAAACTGAGTCACAAAGGGTATTCCAATCTGAAAAAATTTGGAGCTAAACAAGCGCCTAAACCTGTAGCCAAACACCATTTAACCCGAAATTAACATCTAATTAAGCTAATTAACCCGACTCAATGGAGAGAAATAACACGCGGATTTTAAAGGAAGAACTTAAAACAAACCGGTGAAAGATTTCGAATATAAAACCAAACGTGGTAACCAATTCAAGACAAAACCGAAAAAAACTCGAAATTGGAAATGTTTTAATAAGATACACGTAGAGATCACGTAATATCCGGTTAAGTCGTCAGTATGATAATCACGGATGATAAAACGGCAACTATTAATTGTGAAATTATAGTAAACAGCGTTAAAGAAGGTAAGTCGCTCACTAATTTCACATTCGATATCCCAGAAAATATGCTACATTTCAATTTCGAAAATATATCAATTACTTAAAGATTTACTTTCACAGAAATAGGATGGTTTAGATTACGGGTATCTTTCGAGAACGTATATTCGAACCTAATAACCTAATCACCAATCTTAAATAAGACTATAAATACATGGTGCACGATCAAAGAGAATTACATACCTGAATAGCTTTCAGCAAGGAAATCTTAAACCAAAAAGTTTCCTGCCCTTCGAATCTCTCTTTGCAAGAACGTGAAGCCAGTGGAGAGTTCAAGTCAACATCCTGTTCCATGCAATAGGCAATTTCATCAAGAAAAACACTAGAGATGATTCTATCTGCCATTGAGGTAATTTGCTAAGTATCTTGCTTGAATAAAAACCTTGGAAAAATCCGTATTTAATATAATCTGATACGGCTATTGGGCTAACATGAACCCAAATTTTTCTTCGACGTGTAGGGAACAAGGATGGAGGAACCTGAAGAGAGAGATCAAGGATAATGGATTTTGGAACAAAACAATATCTAACAAACCAACTTTCAGTAGAGTAACGAGGAGAGGTACCAGCGTTAATCATACATGGAGTGAGTGCAAAAGAGAATTAGGTTTCCTTCGGTTTTAAATCTTCTGATGTTTCTCCTCTTAAATATTTCATCTTTAGTAAGAAAATTTTGTTTTGGTTTTGATTGTAGGCGAAATCCTGAATGGAAAAGATTTCAAAAATCAATCCTATAAATGAGAGAAGGATTCTACTGGATGGAGCTGAAGAGAATGACATATGCAACTGAGCAAAGATCAACAACCAAGAACGTATATGTTTCCACAATAAGTAGTGGCATGTAGGTAAGTCTCTATTTAGATCTTTTCTTTTGATATTATTTCTCAAGAAAAGCATCTTACTCATTTATTCAAAAACAAATCTAAACTCTTTTCTATTTTATGTTCTCAGGCAATTTCAAAAAGAGAGAACATAACTCTCAGCGTTAATGTAAGTTTCCAAAACATTTTAGCTCCAAAGTGTATCGTTATATGATCTTCTCTTTTAACAGTTCTAAAGTTCCTAACTAAAATATATGTTCTCTAACTCAAATTTATTATATCACATTCCCTCTATGTTCTTAGATCATTATCTTTTATCTATGTCAGGATGCATATATATGTTACCAGAGAACATGTCAAACATTATGAATCTCAACTACCTCGAGTAGAATGGAGATTTATTCAATCCATTGCTGTGTTGAAAGTATAGCGAGACAGAATGGAGAATTCTTTTGCTTACTTATATCCCTAATATATTAAAAGAGAAAACACTAACTAAATAACCTTTGTCTAATGTGTTATTAACAAGAATGTCATTGCTTAGGTGTCATCACTAGGTTCACTCTTAGAGCAATTTCTAATTAAGACAAGCTTTACTAGACAAATTACAATATATGCCATTGCATATTATGCTTACAACCAAATAATGAAATTAAATTTATCATTCTCTTTCCTTAATTGGCAACTACGAAAATTAGTAAATAAGGAAGATATGAGATTCAATTTAATTCATCATAATAATTTCTTTTAAAATCAGTATACATCTTTGTTTAAATTTATTTAATAAAATAATTTGAATCACAATATAAAAAATCTATCAAAAAAAATCTAAAACTTTTTCTGTACATGTTATGATTTGAATTTTTAAAAACAAAATAATATAAATTGTTTCGTATATAACCTCATTTAGTAGGTATCCAAATGTAATTTTTTTTTTCATTTAATATGGTTTTTTAATTAAAATCTATAATTAAATCGAATAAAAAAGTTCTTTTTATAAATATTTTATTTTGATTAAACTTTTGAATATTACTCTATCTGTTTCAACTTTCTATACAAAATTAATTATATTTTTGCTGTTTTGACAATTTGGATTCTGCATATTATTTTCTGATTGGTTGGATTGTTTTGAAATTATAATAAAGCATGTTTTAGTTTTGAAAGAAAGAAAAAAATTAGTTCTAATCCGTGTCCACACAGCTAAAACTTTTTATCTTATGAAATACATGATGTATAATTTTTCTAAAGAATAATGTTTTATTTTCAATTTTTTTTCTTTAAACTATCTTATTATATTATAGTTATTTGAGTTTTATGTATCTCGGTTAAATCTATCATATTTAATCTGTGGTTACGATCAATGCTTTAATTTATTTCTTTTTTTAAATGGATTAAAATGCCTAATTTCATACTATAAACGAATAACAAAGGTTAAAAATCTCTCGCATAAAATGTCGAAATATTTAAATAAAATTTTTAATAAAAATACAAATTCAGAAACTATCACCCCGTGCAGGGCACGGGTCAAACCCTAGTTTTATCTATTCAGATTAGCAGAATCACAGCAAACTTATACATTCTTTCAGTCCATTAACCTTTTTACTGGTTTGTACCTATTTTCTAAAGTTGGAAATTGTGTTTTAAGAGAAAAATAGAGGTGTTAGTGTACAAACCTTATTCTCAGAATGATGGGATTCATCTTTCATTAATCTTGTGTTGAGATCATTCAAACGCACATAAACTCCAATTGACCAGAGTCAACAAGCTTTGTGATATTCTGGCATTGCTTTGTTTCCTCCAACATCTTTGAAAGAATGCCTAAAACGATAGTCAACTTTTAAGAATTTCATGAATGATTAAAACAATACTCAATTAGTTACAGAACTAACTAATCTGAGAATCTTACCATGTCAACGTAAATTAACTACATTATTTTGATTGTGCAGCGATGAAGCGATTACAGAATCCAATACATTCTGAACACAAGCTCCCTGTTCAATCAAATTCATATCAAAATGAATCCCTTAAAAGTCGCAGAATCAAAAGCTCCAAAACTAATTAAATTGATGAGACACTAAGAATAAGAACACCAAAATAGTTTTAGAATTATTTTTTTGGTTTTTCTTAGTTTAAGAAAATAAACTTCACTCTAACACCAAAAGAAAATTTAGAGAACAAACAAGTGTTATTTTTAGGTGATACCAAATAGAAAAGAATCAAATCAGTAGATCAGAGTAAACAAGACAACATATGGTTTCATCTTCTGTTTTCTCGGGTCTGATCTGTAGGCGAAATAAAAGAAATAATACCAAGGTTTCTAATTACGCAGAACAGAAGAAGAAGTCTTAGGTTCTTTTTTTAGGCTCCAACGAATAAATCAAGGAAGGCTTTTTCAACTTTTGATGCAACTGCAGAAAGACAAATATCAGAAGCTGAGTTCACAAACTTTTAGTTATGCAATCGAGAAGCAATGGTCGAAAGGGACTAATTAGAAGAGTGATTGAGCATGAGGTAAAAGCTACTACCCAGGCAGTTCGTTTTGATTTCGAGCCTCCCCGGATGCGTAGAAGAAATAGAACCTGAGCTGGAGACCGGTGAATTGCAAATTAGAAACTGAATCTCGAGCATCTCCAAACCGGTAGTAACTGATTTCTGCATGTCGTGGATTCAATTCAAACTGATTAGAACAAAGTTTCTATCGGAGATGAACAAGCGTCGAAAAAGATCCGGAGAAGAAGATTCTGGAACTTCTCACGGAAACTGAAGAAGAAGAGTTCAATTCCAAAGATACAGAGAGATGGTGTTCGTAAGAGAAAACGGAAGAAGCAATGGAAATTGGGATTCAATTTGGGTCGAATGTTTTTGTTTATTATTATATTGATCTTATGTTAGTGTTGTCCATTGTATTGTTTTTAATAAGTTTTTTTTTAAAAATGATACACATATTACAATCTTAGTAAGAAATTTAATCATGTGTATAGAATCTATAGATACATCACTGTATAAGTATATAGTATATGTCCAGTTTTACTTTACAACATTCGGCTTGAGTCTCTGGCTCAATATAAAAATGAAGCTAATTTTTATTGTTTTATTGTCAAAATAAATCTTCTCTGGATCAAATTTTGATCTGTGTATTTTGAATATATTGTTGCTAACCTGTGTGAAGAGATTGATCTTGACAAAAAAAAAAAAAAATTCAAATAGTTTATCCCATTTTGAATCCAAATAAAA